TAACTCGGTGGTAAACTTATCAGGTAAAGCAAACGGAACCCTTCTACCTGGCACCGCAGTCGGTCGTATTGACGGATCTAGTGACGGATGAGCGTAACCAGCAAGCCTCCCCCAACCTTGGCTAAACACAGGATACTGTTCACTAACATTTGTCTCCGTTTGACACACAGCACAAATTGATCATGGGTAGAATGGACAACACCAAGACTGTGGATTGAATCAATGCTGAGAATCGGCGTGAGCTATTCCTGCGCTACTACGAATACCCACTGATGTAAGAATCTGTCTTTGGCATTGACCAAGGTCTTCGGTTGTAGTTGGAACCGTTCCACATGCACAGGGATCCTTAATCAGGTGTCTGCACGGCTGGTTGTCCTCCAAACAGCAATTGAACAAAGCAGTCTCAGCGAAGATGACAGCATAACCAGCCTGTAGAGTCCTCGATATAAATAACTAGGTCGCTTGCATAACTAACATAATTAAACGCATAAAATTATTGGCGTTACCATGATCGCTGCTATGCTCACCTCACCAGTGGTCAATATCTTCAAGCGAAATGTTTCCCATTTACCTTATACGGATTACCATATACCGAAATTCGCTGTGGATTCTACCAAGTCTACTATTATCCGGTGTTACTTTGGCGCAAAACAATGCCACCTAGTCAGTGGGCTAAGCATATCGAATCATCTAATCTCTCTTGCTCAAAGCAATCTTGCCAATTATCTTCGATAGGTTTCTTAAGAAGAACCTCCATTGCTCAACTATAGAATAACCAAGCTCACGTTCGTCATCTTCCGGTGCATGCCAACAGCAACTGTTAGAATTTAAGAGACATGAAGATTGTGGATAACAGTATTGTGAGTTAACCGCAAATCGCTGGCACACAACTTGTGTTTTCCGAGTGAACTCTCCCTTCATGCAATTATTTCGTAATCTTCTATTTCGTACCACTTCTTAGACGCAACTATATATTTATGATTTGCAGTAACGTCTTGCAACAGATTTATTGGCTACTTTTGTTAAATATCGGACCATAGACCCGAAATCTTGTCGCTATTAGCCACCGTAAAATAACTGTCAACAACTGACCAGCATTTGTAATTTTCTGCTCAGCCTATGATGCATGTAATGTGCACTGCTGCCCCTCCATGATTACGCCTCTGAGGGCGTCCTTCGAACAGTCGTGAATAAACAATCGAGATGTCTCCATCTCGGTGAAGGGCCGCGTTTGCAACGCGTCGGTTCGTTCATTGTTTCATGGGATCGAGTTCTGGCCAATTTACTTAGATGACATGCGCCGTCTTTCCCCTTTCGACAACGATTGTTTGAGGAGAATCGCTCCTCTGTGGTGGCACCACCGAGTCTTCCTGGTTGCGGTCCCAAGGATGAAGAATGCCAGTGCCTTGACACGCCTAAAGATATTGTCTGCAGCCGGAAGCAGTGGAAATACTATCTAGAGAACTGTATTGATTCACATGTTTAACACCTCAAACATTGAAATAGCAGGAAAGTAAACAATGTCGGCGTGTCAAACATACAAAAATGCTTCGCTCTATATTTTCTCAGACTCTACTTCCTTTTGTCTTCCATCGTTTTTCCATGGCCATCTCCAGTTCTGAGAGTGTTGGTGATTTATATATATATATATATATATATATATATATATATATATATATATATATATATATATATATATATATATATATATATATATATATGTTAGCGGTCCGAACGAATGACCAGGGGGAAATAAATAGTAACACATGACGGACTGTTTGGTGGTTCTACCTCCCAGTTAATTCTCGCTCACCTCGGACAACAGACGATTATAATCGGCTCTGGTTTTGCCTTACGACACGGATAGCCTGCAGTGGACATAATCGCACCATTTCCCTGCTAATTTGGAAACTTGCTGACGCCATCTCCGTCATTCTTTTTTGGATGGCATCCTTATTCTATATACCGCATGTAAGTCGGGATTGGGTGCAGTTTCATTCTAGAATGATTAACTATTGATTTGGTGCAATGTGATATCTTTATTGCACCTGCCTAGAAAGGATGATCCACAGGTAACCTAACTATTTTAGGCTTATTTAACTCGGTTGTATTTCGCGATGACTTCACGTGTTGCCCATTACGATATTGTACTCATCATGACCTATGCTATGCTATTCTTGCTACCTCCTCAAGCGGTGTCTAGTATGGTTACATACCAAGAGTGAGTTATGGCATCTTCATTTTCGTATTATCATTCGGCCGCGATTCACATCACTATGTCAGCTCCATGGTATTTCTCACCATAACCGTAGCTTGACTAGCTGCTCAATGCTAACTTACATGATGCTTAGAGAGCCGGTGCATCGCAGAATAATGGTTCAGTCCATCCATGAGCTCATTCGTTATTGATGTGAGTGCGGTATTTCCGAGCGATTTGTTTGCTGGCTACAGATCAATGCTAGGGAGGCAAATTATTGTGTATGTACCCAGTTCGATGGATACGTTTGAATCAAAAGGTTATTATCGCTTGGCCGTTTACAGTACGCATAAAATGTCAAATTTGACATTTGTAACACAATGCTCAACGAGTGTCCTTCGTGTGACCAATTTGGGTTATGCATTCGAAGGGAAATTTCCCTGGAATATCTGTGTCAAGTGAACAATCACGACAATTAACCGACTAGCGATTATCACGATGTCGCCATTCCATGTTCCACTCCGCAGGTTAGTGATGAGAGTGAGTATAGTTATAGTTCCAGTTATCCCTCAGCCATACTGAATTTACCGGGGTCTATGAAAACACACGTACTAACCGGATGGAAGGCAAACGTGCAGAGACCGCCTACCAGAAGTTGCATTGCACATGGCCAATCTTTTGGATGGATTAAGTAAAAGGTTGCATCTAACGGGAATGGTACGTCAATGTGTTATTATATAACATCGGAAATGAATCGGCGCATAGCGACAATGGTTTTATGAGTACCGAATGGGCTGCACCTGGAACGTACGATATAGACCGTTAGTAAATAGCTTATGGCCACAGTAGAGTACAGGTCGGTAGGTATAAACGGTTGAGTACTTGGACATTTGCACAATAAATGTGAACACTGTTTGTAAAGTCGCATGTTTGACCGGTTGCGCATCAATCGTTCTTTGAGTAGGTGAACATACCTCGGGCAGCACATGACCGAACCGGTCGGAGACACAGAGAGCCAGAAGTGGACACTGCATCCCATTCGCATGCTGTGTGATCTCACCCATCAGCTACTCAAATCAGACTGTACATGTAGAGGGCAACATCTAGGTGTATACTATTTCACTGTACCAGTAGTCTAGTCATCATTCTACCTAGCAGTTCCTCCACTATTGCTACATCGGATTCCTTCAAATATGGATGTCCAAGATTTAAGGCTGTCACGTCTAAATGTTGAAGAAAACGTCAACAGTTCGTACTGGGTAGTTATTCTCATGCCTGCGAAAGTGTTTGTTATCCTGACCTCCAAACGAAACCCATACACGTTTGTCGTACCATTGATGATGATGTCTAATGTGTCTATCCAGTTTGTGACAGCTCACACTTAAGTTTGGATAAACACATGTACATATGTTGCATTCGAAGTGCCATTGGACACAGATGACGCCAATCTATGTAACTATATGTGTACCGAATGAGTTCCACGAGGATCTTCATACCGCTTTTGTACGGTTAACGTAGTGCAGTAAAACGATATTCTAGCAAACCGAAAATAAAATTATCAGAACATGAAGAAGGTGAGTTTATGACAAACTCATGTTGATTTCATGTGTTGCGAATCCAAGGCAAATTTGATCGATGCACATTACGTGGACTGCTCAAAAGGGCGGTTTCTCAGGTGCCGGAGAAGGCACTATTGTATGCGGAATAGAAGCACCATGAGTATGTTCTCATTCAATTTACTAATCCAGGCCCATAAGGCGGCGTATGTGGTACGTTTGCCTGCTTGATGAATAAACTTGCATTTCAGAAGTAGATGTTGCTTGAGCTCCCCTGTGTGGATGCACCTGATGTGAATGTTGACAAGGTGCCTACCTGTCTATTACCCACTACCTCGTCCATACTGGCTCCAGGAGACAGTTGGTCGTCGCTGGAGGGGACGGAGTGCACCGTCCTCGTGACGGTGCTAGGCTCAAAGAGTGGTTCCATGCAATCTGTGTGGAACGGGCTACGGTCCAGCCACCGCCTCGTGTACGTCTGGTGTGTATGATTTCCCAATGAGGCCGGAATGCTTCCGTTCTGCTTGTTGAAGGAGTGTGAGCCGGCTCCGTTGATGAAACGTGGCTCCCATCCGCATGCCTCCTGCTCTTATTCCTTCGGGTTTACACCGGATATGGGGTGTGTGGGTGGAACTATGGGTGGTGCAGCGCAAGCCACCCATGGTTCCCTTTGTAGGTGCAGGCGTCCTGTGACTGTCCCCATGGACATCACAGTGACAGGCAAATCCGGATACGGACGCCGCCAAATCATATATGTATATATATATATATATATATATATATATATATATATATATACTAACAATAATCATAGCTTCCCAAATGTCTGAATAGCTGGGGTGACATTCAAGTGCCATCGCTGTAAGAATTGGCGCTTGCAGCGCCTCCATTGCTCCGTGTCTCCAACCTCATTCTGTGTTTGTTTTATTTGTCGTTTTGGGTTAAGGGGATATGATGGATACTATTTCACGCACGTCCAAATTACTAACTAATCCCTACGAGCTTCACTTAACGCCGTGTTGACTATAGGTCACTTGCTCCAGGTTAGTAGGAGCCTGAGATGTTCCCGTGTTACCGCAGCCCGTCTGCGTTTGTCTGATCTAGTGATTTGTCTCTTTTGTGTATTGCACACTTTGACGCTTCGCATTCGACTAGGCAGTTCATCACTTGTTTCATAGTGCACTAATCCACCGGTTCATATGCTGATACTCCCGCTGAGGTTTCGCCTTTTCTTTGTTTTTTCACAGGAGTTGATTGTTCATCTGGAAGGCTCATCCGATTTCATGTTTTCTGGCCAACAGAAACTACGACTTCGCCTGCTCCCCGGGTCGCCCCATGTTCTTCACTACGTTCTGCTGCCCTTGCACGTGGGCTACGTGCCACTACCCCGGTGAGTTTAGCAATGCAAGGCTTTCAGGCAGTTCGCGTAGCACACCACATTCCTGAGCGTCATGCTGCCGAAAGTCTCTAAAACCTCAACTGATCAACCGTACTAAGTTTGCTCGTTTGTAAAATTAGCGAATCCAAAGTGGTTGGCATCGTTCGGTGGGCGGATCAATGCTCCTTTCCCTCTAATGTGTCGTATCGGTTAATTTACCCCATGCAGTGCGTTGCGCTAGAATGCTGTTCATCCGGTTAACTGTTTTCATCTAGATCTGATCATCTCAGACATGCCCGGAATGCTGTAGGATGAAGGCACAACGGGACCATCCTACTCGCTGTGACGATTTACATGTCGGTTATCTCGTGGGTTGCACTCTCTGGTACTTTCCAAGAGCCACTCAAGAGTCACTCATATCAAGCACTTCAATGGCAAGTGACCTATCTAACTCAGCCTCAGTATCCTCTCCTTTGAGAGCCGAAGAGAAGTCGGGATACTCCTCTCAAAACTTCGCTATAAAGAACAGCAGTTATGGGTTGTTAGCTTGACCTCATTTGTGCCATTGGTTTTCTCTGACAGCAAGAAGCACTACTTACGCCCAACACTTTGATTCCGCCCACCATTAAGGTGCAAACTTACAAAGACGTGCCTGCAATTGATCTTGTCCACCCGTGCATCATTTAAATGTGTGTGCAAATTGTCCTGAATATTCCAGGACAGTATTTTGCCAACCTCACACAGGCCCCGATGAGTCTGTAGTTATAGTACTTACCTTACTGTGATGATCCCTATGACTTTGTGAGTCCGACTATTGTGCCCCGAGTGAAGTACCTCAATCGGACTTCATTTATCCACATTCCTTACTGTTCAAACTTGAGGTAGTGGACCTCAGAATGGGAACCGAAGAGTATCCTCTGCGTACAGAGCTCCGTCATTGGTGATCTTTCTACTTTCTAGCTTTCTCCTTCACTCCAAATCTTTTTTCGCATGTTTGTTATGCAAGAGACTGCCACTGCCTTGCCAACTAATCGTAGCGATATACTGAATACTATATTATAGAGCAAGTAGAAATGGATTCTGTACAACTCTTTCGAAATATGGCGAAAAACGTTATAAAAGTTGTCAACCTTGAATATCATTGTCGTTCTCATGTAATATTTAAAATATTCGACTTACGGTATTTCAGGATTCACAAATGTGATATGTCATCGTAAGTGTGCAGTCGTTCTCTGAATCGAATAGAGGCAAAATGCAAATCTAACAACGTTTTGAACTGTTGCACAGATGTTGCCTCAATCACATGTTCGGGCAAACTGTTCCAAATGTTTACCACTCTCCGTTCGAAGCACAGTGGGTGTGGAACACGTTTCAAATCCGGCACAACAAGTTTGTATCTGTGTCCGCGTGTGCTGCATGGCCCTCGTAAGTGCAGCATTGGCCTTAACATGGGGAACTCACCGAGATGTATAATTCGGTAGGTCATAATGAGGTCGACTCGTACCAGACGGTAGGACAAGGTGTAGAGTCCTAGTTTCTCGCACCGGTCTTCATACCCAAAGCCACGTAAACTCGGGATCAGCCTGGTAGCAACGTGTTGGACCCGTTCGATCTTTTGTGCCTCGCCTCGGATAATCGGAAAGTAGGCGGACGAACCGTACTCTAGCATTGGTCTAATGATAGAAGAGAACAGGCGAGTGGCAACCGCTTCAGACCATGTGCCGAAGCTACGTTTGAGCGCCCAAAGCATGCGCAGTCCGTTCCGATATAGCCTGTTCGTGTTGTCCACGGACTTCAAATCGTAGCGTGAGAGTACACCTAGGTCCTTCACGGAGGGTGTGGGATATAGCGTTTGGCCGTCAAGGGTGTAGGTTCGGCCGTCTGCACCCTTCCCCAGGCTCATAAATACCGACTTGGCTGGGTTGACCGGGAGAAGAACTTCTGCAGACCATGTGGATAAGCGGTTGAGATCTTGCTGAAGTAGGCCACAGTCGTCGGGAGCGTCGATTTCTCTCCAAATCTTCATGCGTCCGCAAACAAGGCACACGGCGACCGGAGAAGCTGCGGTAGATCGTTGATGTGGATCAGGAACAGAGTGGGCCCCAGCACAGTGCCTTGAGGCACGCCACTTGTAGAGGGGTACCAGTCAGTTAGATGGTCGTCGACCTGTACCCTCCACTTTCGTCCAACAAGAAAGTCGCGGATCCACCGGTGCAGTGAGCCACCGACGCCACACATGCTGAGTTTGTGAAGGAGAACCTCATGACTGACCTTGTCGAACGCTTTACTGAAATCGATGAATATCACGTCGACGGACTTCCCCTTGTTTATTGCCTTCAACCACTCATGCCTCGTCACAAGCAGGTTCGTAATGCATGAGCGACCTTGCATAAAACCGTGCTGTGCGGGCGTCAGGACCTTCGTTTGACTGTAGCAATTGCAGCAATCTCTTCTTCACGATTTTCTCAGCAACCTTTGCCAATATAGGTGTCAGACAAATTGGCCTGTAATTGTCTACTTTGCTAGGGTCGCCGCCTTTCGGAATAGGCTTCACCACCGCACATTTCCAGTCAACCGGCAACAAACCTTCGGAGAGCGACCTGTTGAAAAGGTCAGTCACGATAGGAGAGAGGATGGTTGAAAGTGACTTGAGAACCAGTGGGTGAAGCCCATCAGGTCCGGCAGGTTTGGTGCCGTCAAGGTTGGCGAGTAGTTGAGCTACCTCTTCGACGCCGCAATGCAGACTATCGAGTTCGGTAAAAGCGGTACACGTCGAACTCGGAACAGACACCTGGTTATTCGCAAATACAGAAGCGAAATGCGCCGCCAACGCGGACGCACGCTCAGTGCTGGAGGTTAGGGGGCTGTCCATCCATGCCATCCAGCACTGGCACATCACCTGACGGCTTCAGGCGTCGCTTCACGTATGCAAAGATTCTCTTTGGGGCGGTCTTCGCGGCTAATGCGAGCTGCTCTTCAAAGTGTCGGCGTTTATTCTTTTTGCACTGTTGCAGAGATTCCGCTGACATTTATACCCTTCGTAATCATTGGCAGAGCCAGAGAGAAGGAATTTGTCCCACAGTCTGCGGCGCCTCCGAGCCAGGTTTCCATACTCCTTATCAAACCAATGAGGCTTAATCGGTCCAACCTTTCGACATTTCAATGGCACAAATTTGGAACACAATGATGTCAATCTCTCTTTTATAAATATCCAACAATCTTCCACAGATGCAGTTTGTGACAGAGACCAATCCAGTTTGCTCGCGGCTCGAGCTAGACCATCGAAGTCCGTTTTCCAGTAGTTGGGAGCTGGTTGCAGCGGATGTGAATACGGCAAAGATAATTCCATATCAGCTATCAGTACTGAGTGGTCGCTCGTAGCCAGGGGCTCCAGGATCCTAACGTCACGCACTCGTTGTTCGTAGCTCGTTAACATCAGGTCGAGACAGGACGAGGTTGAACGTGTTGATATGCGTGTTGGCTGGCATATGTGTTGCGATGCACCAGTTTCAAGTACCAAATCCACGAACTTTGCTTCAACCTCACTATGTCCAGGCATCAAATGCACATCAGGCCATCGTATTCGAGGACAGTTAAAATCGCCCATAAGCAGAAAGTGTGGACGACTCATGTGGGTCCGAAGATGGGGCAGCCAATCCAAACAACGACTCAGGGGACTGCGATAAACTGCGCCCACAAGCAGTTCTCCGCGCCTGAGGCGGATGGAGCACCACAGTAGCTCACACAGACCATCGTCACTTCGGTAGGTGCTCACAAGTCTCCCACGCAGGGAAGACCGGATGTAAAGTAAGACACCACCGTGGGCATTCTTTAGTCTATCGCATCGGAAACACGAGTAACCGTTGAGTTCAAGTTCTTGGGTGTATAACTCTGCATGCAGCCATGTCTCTGCGAGTCCCACTACGTCTGGCCGCTCAGACGCAACGAAACAACAAAGCTCATCGCGCTTATTCATAATACTGCAAACGTTTGTGAAGGCTACTCGCAGGCCGCAGCAGGAGCACCGGGCGTGCTTGAAGTGTGAGCAGCCTGTTTATCCTGATTCGCGGATTGTTGGAAACCACCCGAAAATTTACGATACGAAGATTTGTTTCCCCCTCACCAGTGCGTCTTTTCAGCTCAATGATGGCAGACTTGAGCCGCTCCCTGTCTACTGGGTCCAGGTCGGGACGAACATGGATCTTCAAACCTTTCAGCCTACTTAGGCGGGACATGATAAGTCTTGGACTGGCTTCGTCCACAAAAGTGATTCTCATAGGCCGATTTTGTTGATCACCTTGCTTTCCAAGACGGGTAATCTGCCTCACTTTTACCGAGTCCTCACCAGCGTCGAGGAGTCTATCAATTAGACCCTGTAAAAACTCGACATCGTGATCGTAGCGCACTTGGGGTGATGGATCACTGGACTCCGGTGCGTGAAAGATCACGAGATTATAACGCCTCTGGTCGGACGAGGTTGGCCTTGCAGGGCGAAGTATACTACCAGCCTCAAGTGGTTTGGCTAACTGTTGACTTACAGAACGTAAACGCCCAACGTTCCTTCGTAATTTCGTCCTCTGATCTTTCCACTGGTCTTCAGCACTCAGACTTTCACCTGCTGGGACATCAGTGTCCGGTGGACACAACAAAGGTAAACAATTTAGCCCAGGTGCAACTGGGCTTCTCACAACGGTTGGACTTCGTGTCAGTGAGTTTGCACGGGTAGAGGAGGACGACTGAGCCGAAACCTGAAGGCTCTTCGCGCTAGGTTGTTGGGCCAAACACACGGAGCTGTTCGCAACGAAACGCTGAGGACTACACGTCGGCTTTACTCTTTCTGGCTGTATCTGATTTCGGCAATTTTCACATATAGTTTGGACGAAATCGTGTTGGATCTCGCGAAGACGATGGAAATGCTCAACTGATAATCCAACACAAGGAATGTGGTATTTAACTTGGCAAAATGCACACGTGAGGGCATTTGCACGGTATCCGACTAGTTTGGAGCTAGT